CTGAAATACACTATTTACGCTAGCTTTAAATCCAAATCTAAGATATCTCACTCCTTTAACCTAGCGCTACAGACACAGCCATCTCCAAACTAAATATTTCCAGCTTTCCAAGAGGCAGCATTCCCCTTCCCTTCTACAAATAAACAGAGCACACTCGAGCCTTCCAAAATGATCCTCCAAATGAGGACAAGATATGAGGAAGAGTCACTCATTTTTATTTGACTCTTACAGTGACCAGAGGGAATAACAGACATATCAGCTGATGGATAGAAGTAACCTGAGGACATGAGGCTCGCACAGCCGTAAAGCTGCTGTCCATATGACGATGGTGCTAAATACAAAGCAGGCTGCAAGGAAAGAAGGATGAAGGCAAGAGGGGATGGATGAGGCCATTTCCTTCCTAACAATGTCCATCATAAAGAAATAATCACCAATAAAGTAATCGGCAACATTTCCGATACAGCATTTTTCCTTTAAAGACTAAATCCCAATAAGATACAGTAGTTGTCTATATTCTTCCCTGGTTTGAAATCCCTTTATTTCCCCTGCAGCACAGTGTAAGAAGGAACCTGGATTTTCTGCCACAGGATACCATCTTCATAACTGACTTCATACACCGTGAATTTAAAGCAATGCAGTCGTTCACTGGGAGCCAAACACTAAAACATATGCCTGCAGACATCAAAACAAACACACGTGCACAAAACACATGGATGCAAGTGAACAAATAGACACATAGAGTAAAAGGAAGCAGAGACTCACACACGTGCACACACAGAGCTGTGCTGCTCTCCAGCATATTAATACTTGAAAAAACTGCCTACAGCCTGAAGCTATAGCGGAACAAATCTAAAACAAGACCACTTATGAAAACAAATTTCCTGCGTTTATTATTTTAAAATGGTCATTAATGGATCTTATATGGCCTATGTATTCTTCCTGTGGTGAGAGATTGTATAAGTATCTGCAAGCTTCCCGTTTGATTTATTGTAGCTTTAAAAACAAAATGCAGTCCTGGGGGTTGTTGGCCCCATCTCAGGACTCCGTCTCCCTAAAAGCCGGGCTTTCCCCCCATCTCCTCCTGCAGGCAAGAGAGCAGGAAGCTGGGCAGGGAGAGCATGCAGCCTCCCCTCTGCCTCCTGGGTGAGAGTTTGATCCTCAGACAGGCTGGTTAACACCAGCAGACAGCTGATGGACCTCGCACAAGACGTTAAACTGTATTTCGCAACTGCAGACAGTGGGACTATAATAGTAACCCACTGCATATGTAGGAATATGGAGACAGAAAGCAGAGAAGAATTTATGTTAAATACATTTTCTGTTGCTATGTGTACAAGTGTCAAGGAACCCTGCTGTGAGCATGCTTTCTCAATTATATGAATACACACAAACACACATATATGGGGGGCCTATGTTCCCGTTCAGTGCGTTAATGAGCTCTTATCTGATGGAAATTGATCTGACAGCACAGCCAGGGGTCTGACCTCGTGCCCTCATATACACTAACACCAAATACTTATATATGACCTATACTTACTGAAGGACCTCAGTCCTAACTATGACGTAAGAAATAAATGTACACTTGAGGATATGCAACAGTGTTTTAAACTTAAACGTTTAACTGTAGGTGATGTCCTATAACAATAACAACAATATTCGATAAACCAATTTCAGTACATGAACAAGGGCTCAATTAGTCGATGACCAGAAATAGAATCAGAAAGAAAAAAAAAACGAACATCACAATTTCCTAAAGCACAGAAAGACATCTTTTAATTGGATGTTTTGTGCAACAAACTCCAAGGATAATCAGTTTACAATCACAAAAGACAACACAAAGCAGCAAATCCTCACAACTGAGAAGCTGTAACTGGTGGATATTTGGCCTTTTTAGTTTATATTTTGACACAGTTAAAAAAAAATCTGTGAAAGAAGCAATGCAATCCAACAATCTCTAGAAAGAAATTTTAAATGTAAATCCAAAGTATTTTTTCAGAAAGTAAATACATTTACCATAGTGGATTTTTAAATGTATTCAATTGTTCTGAAAGGATCTGATACTCAAATGTTTACACCACTAAAGACCATGTATGCCTTCAATTTGTTAAAACATAAAAATTCCCCCAAAAACTGTCATTTCAACAGATGGGCGATGACTGCATCGTTTTAGCACCCGCTCCTGCTGCACAGTCTGCAGTGACTAGTGACTGAGTAATATTAATGGCCGTCTCTGGCTAGCGTTTATTTTCGGGCCTGTGTCCAAGTGTGGGCAGACTGTGTGCTCCCCTATCCAGCATCAGACGTGTTAAACGGCCCTTAAATGCAAATTGCAGAGATGACAATACACTCCCCCTTCACAGGACACATACAAGCCCTCACATGGTTCTAATTAGCGCAGCCAAAGGTGTTGTGTTCACGTGTAAGTAATGAATCTGTGTGTACGTTTGTGTTACGAGAGCATGCGTTGTGTGTGTCTGTTGAGGGAACAGGCGGGTGTTAATTGCAAACACCTGAAGGTTGTAAGCAGAGTTGGACTGTGAGATAGTTTGCCTAAGCCTTAACGATGGCTGGCCGCGCTGTTTCTGTGAGCATTAAAGTGTCATAATGTTGCTTCCACTGAGGCGATACGAGAGATAAATGTCCCTTGAGTCAAAGCCTGGAGTCAAATACTATTTATAGACCGTGTCTCTGCTTTTCCAGTGGTGACTGAACCAGAGGGCTTTGCCTTCAAAAAACTTTCATTTTTCATCAGAAGGAAGTCATTCAGTCAGAAGTGTCAATGACAAATTTAACATCATAATTTTCAGCGCCGCTGCAGAAGTGCTGCCCCCTGTTGGGCCCCTGTCTTCATGCACACTGTAAAGTGAGCACCCTGATGTGGAGGGCATAGCTTTAATGGCAGAAATGCTGCTCATGCTGTGTGGCAGCGTGTGTCTCTCACACACACACACATACAGGCAGAAATACCTTGGCCTGTGATCCTGGTGGTGAGAGATTCAAGTTTCAGGTGGGAAGAGTTGGTGCTAAAGGGAGAGGAAGGTCTCTTCTTACAGTGTCGTGTTGAGAGAGGTGCCTCTGTCGGCCCCTCAAAGGCTCAGGGACAGAAACTCAGACTTACGCACACACACGCAGTCACATGGGACCATGATACAGACATGTACACTCTCTCACAAGGCCGCAGATGGGATGCACACATGTAGGCACAGCCCCACTCAGATAAATGTAGATAAAAACATTTTACATAAGTCACATATAGAGTACTTAGCTGAAACACATGCACACCCCTGATAGCACCAAGCTCATGTGACTTCTTGAGCATAAAAACACCTGGAAAAACACTACAATTGCAGGTTTATTGGTTGAGAAACCCCAATTGAGAGACAAACACATCTTGCAGAGTAATGTTAACAAGTCTGTATTGAGCAATCTAATTGTTGGGACATGAAAAAAGTAAATGTGCACAGGCCTTCAGTTGCATCAAAGCCACAATAAACAAAATAGCCTTTTGTTTCACTAAAAACAAAACTCCATATTTAAAGGAAGCTGGAAAGAGAGACCTTTAAATAGACTTCTGAATACTTGTGGACTGGAGTGGTTGTATCTCAGTGCCAAAACCACTTTTGACAAAATTGACAGGAAAATGGGATGCAACATCTGATAGAATAATGTGATATAATAGTCTAATTACATTAAAATGCAAAGCACCCAGCAAGTCCTAATTGGGCAACTATTTTACAAGGTACAAGCACGTTTGATTACAATTCCACTGAGTCATAAATGCTCTAAATGTCAAAAATGGAACTACAGCAAAGAACTACAACTTGCATTTGCCAAATCAGTGGCTTTGGCTCTGCTGAATCCAGTGCAATCAACAAATACTTGCACCGACTTCGCTGACCAGCCAGCAAGACCCAGCGAGCTATTTTGGCACAGCCGATTTCAGACTGGAAAACAGAATGTGTTGAAAGTGGGCCAGAAATTCCACTTGTGAACGCTTTCACCTGTTCCTGTTGTTGCAGGGCTATTCACACCCAGAGACAAAGAGAAAGAAAGAAAGAAGGAAAGAAAGAAGAGCCGGGGAAGGAAATTCCCCAAATGTGTAGATAAGCATCTTAAAAAAACTCTGCCATAACTTCTTCAGACAAAAATTTCAAAGAAGAAAATATGTGTGAACAGATACTTTCTCTCCAGTAACAACAGCAAAATTCAGCCTGAGACGCAATTTTTTTAAAAAACTGTAATGTCATGAATGCCAGCTTCAATAAAACACACACACACATCCTGTTGCTGAAAGCCAGAGAATTTCTCTTTCAATAAAGCACAACGTTCCTTTCCACAGGTGTGGTAAAATAACTCATGTAAACCATTTAATACACAGCTGAGATCAGTTGGTCACACCCACTGATGTCCACGCTTCATCAACATGTGCGTACACATCACATCAAATATTATAAAATAAATACCATCTTTCTTGAATTCACAGGCATAACGGGGGACTCTGTGTGTAACATGATGTGGAACACACACTGTTCTCCACCCGTGGAACTATCGCAAGCCCTGTAATGAACACCACAAGCCAAACGTGGCCAATCTTGGCACATGGCTGCTCATCTATTAAAGTGAGCATCCCCCACTGACACGAGGCATCAGGGCTCAGGCTGGACATCCCTACCCCACTGATCTGCTGAGTGTTGAGCTCTGCTGTCACAGTATGGCCCCTTCTACAGGGGCTTAGGGGCCTTAATCCTCCACACAAAAAAAGATGCGCATACACACACACACACACACACACACACACACACACACACACACACACACACACACAGTCTTGAAGTTAAGGAGAGCCGCCAAAAGCATCATATGCAGACTGACTATCAGGTTCCACAAGCAGTCGGTCATGCCTAGACTGTATCTTTGACCTGATAGGGGACAGGTTTTTAGTGTCTTGTTTGTGTGTTTTGGGAAGTGGTACTAATGCTACAATGAACAGAGACAGATACCTGGAGGACAGGAGCATTCTTGGCCAACATCCCTAGTTGTCCTCAACTTCGGCATCAGCACCGCCACTTTCTGCAGACGCACAGAGCAAATTCCAGTGTAAGATTTAAAAAGAAAATCATTAAGCAAAAAAATGTCAGAGCATGGAATATGATGAAAATAATGTACCAATAACAATAATGAGATCATAATCTTTCTACCATTACACACAGGCTCTCAAATAAAATGAGTTTCCTCAATTTCTTTTCCATGTGATGAAATTATAGGTTGTGTCTATCATCAGTGCTTATGTCACCCTATAAAGAGCTTTAACTGCAAACTAATTGGCCAGCTGCGTGCATGGTTCATCCTTAAGGTCATGCATTAAAAGGACTGATTTAAGGGGGAATAATTAGGGTGCAATTGCCAAAAAGTGCCATGGCGGTGTGTTTGTAAACCTCCCTGCACATGTTCCCTGTTATTACGCACACTTTACGCACAGACAAGCAGTGCGTCCGTCAGAGGTTCACAAACACATTATGTATTCAACTGTGACAATCAATTTTTAACTGAATCCACAATTGGTGTCATGTACCTCGTCCACAAGCCTTCCTATTGGGGCGCTCAGCTCTGGAATTAGGGTCCCATCCTCGTTTAGAAAAGCCGTGCGCGGCGGGTGGATTACGGACGCTTTGTTCATCTCCATCTGCAGCCGGTACTCCAGCTGCTGGGTCTTGAAGCTCATCAGAAGACACACTGTGACGGAGCTCAGGGACATCAGCAAGCACAAAGCCACGGGGAAACCTGGGAGCCACCGCTGGACCGCGGACTTGGGCGCACACTGACACACCGGCTTACTTTCCCCGTTGGAGCTGTTGGCTGTATCCATGCTGAAATCCTTTCTTCAGAGTCCTCTTGATCAAAAGAAAACAACTTGTTTTTGTTGGTGTAGTTCTGCAGCCAAAATGTAATCAGGCTCCGTGGACTAACTAAGAAGGGGACCTAACACATTCACTAACTCCACAACACTAGACTCGAGGTTCAAAGCGCTGCCTTAAATTAGTCTTGAACAAGACGCAGCAGCGGTGCGCACCGGGTTTACGCCAGGCACAGATGGGAGTGATCTGGATGCCAACCAGAGAAGAGGCGCTTACTGACTTCAAGGTCGTTGTTTCTTGTTGGGGAGTATCCTACATGGAGGTGCAATTGCAACTACCAATGGGTCCAATTGTTTGCCTCTCTAAAAGTTGCATGTTCAACTAGTTGAGATGCGCCCGCCCTGCTGACCACGTGGGAGGCTGCAGATTGACAGCTGTGAGTGAGACTGAGTGAGACTGTGAGTGAGACTGAGTGAGACTGTGAGGGTTTGTCTCGGTCGACTTCTGATCGCCCTCAGAGACCTCAGTTCAATACCGCACACGGTCCCTGCAGCTAATGTCACTTTTCATCACAATATTTTTCAAACCCACTGTAGTCGACTGAAACTCACAAGAACTAAAAACAGTGGCTGCGTCTTGTTGGTGTGATACATTATGACATTTGCTGAATTATTTAAGGGTTTTGGTTTGTTTCCTGTAACTGTGAAGTGTGAACAAATAATGACACTTTAGAGTCACTTTAAAAGAATGTATGTCGCCGTGCACTGTCAACAGGGAGCGCATATTGTGCACAGTAGGCAATACCGCGGGAGGGAAGAAAGTAAGGACAGTGTTTAGACACTCAGGCTGGTACTGGTGGTCCCTCATTCTTAAGTCCGATGATACAATTTGGAGTATTGAGTTCTTTTTGTTGTCAGACCTTCTACTCTCCCCCTCAATCAGTTTAGTTATAATGCATACTTGTTTGTTTAACAAACAGTAGGGAGGATCCAATCTCACAACAGGTAAATATTCGATATTATTCAATATGATTAGGTTCCAATTACATAGATAATTGATATAGATTTAAGTTAAAGCTCTGATAGCCCTACATGGTACATTGTACCTCGGGCGGTACGTTTGCAGCGATGTGAAAGCTTTTTACTGCCATCCTGCGGTTTAGTGCAGCTACTGCACCTTTATGGAACCTCTCACTCATTCACTACACTTTACACACAAGACACATTTCTGTCGTCTGTTCACGTTTATTGAGAAATTGTACATGATACTGCAAAAAGTTACATAACCAGTCAGTGAAAAAACAAAAACAATCTTAAATTGTATATACAAGGATTTTCTGCCTGCAATAGCTTTTTTTTTTATATCTACAATCCAGGATAAATTATTACTGGTGAGACTGATGCAGGGTAAAGCAAACCTCAATGTTGACCCATTACCCACTTAACAATGCATAGAATAAACATGGACACCATTTAGCTCATCATGAATAAAAAAAAATAAAAAAAAACAGCTTTACCAGTATTTGCTCATAAGCTACAAATTAAATTACAATGGCAAATAAATAGAAAACAGTTGGGGTATTCATTACATCAAAACATGCCACAGATGAAAACATAACTTGTTGATGAGAGACACTAACACACACGCACACTGGCTTATGACATAACACAGCAAAGCAAGGCAGTGGACTGATACAGTCAGTTAAGGTACAGCTCTCCTGGAGAGTCAGGAAGTGGAGGCTGGCAGCGAGCAGCATGATAAATGTCATGTTGACAGCCAGGCCCTGACCAAGGTTACAGGTCAGAGTTATACAGGTTCAGAAGTTCTGTCTTTTTTGCTGCTGCTACTGCTACTGCTGCTTCTGCTGTTGCTTTTGCTACTGTTGCTGTTCTTGCGGTAGCAGGAGAAGAAGGGGTGTCGTAGGGCCTGCTCCAGACTGAGGCGCTTAGCTGGGTCATACTCCATCATCTTCTCTATCAGGTCAAACAGCTGGTGGTGGTCTTCGCTCTTTGACACCATGTAATGCTAATGGGAAGGAAAGGACAATTTCTCTTTAAAATATGTCACATTTAATCTAGTGCTCTGCATTTTATAATAAATGGTAGGTAGCAGTGTTTCCAGTGGTAGTCCTCTTACCTTGAGGGGTTTGCAGTGTTTCCTGACATATCTCCCAGAAGAGCTGTGTACATCCCAGTCAAGCCTGCACCGGTTTACATACCGCTGTTTCCTGTACAGCACACAATGATTGAGAATTGATTACAAATCAATTAACTCCGTATAGAGCTTATGCTCAGGTGACCATCATTATTTGTTTCTCTGACAGAAATGTTAATAAAACAGTCCAGTTAGTGGTCAACTTACTTGGTTTTCTGCAGGAGGTTTGTGGGGATGGGGCCGAGAACTCTTTCCATCATAGCAAGGTGCTCCTTACTGTCATGGGTCTAAAGGAGAAAACAATATAAAACATCTGGCCATTGTAATTGTCACAGTATTAATGTCATTGTGCTCTGTTCTGCCACATACCTGGAAGAGAGTAGACCCGAGGTAATACTCAATGAGTATGCAGCCTACACTCCACACATCGCAGGAATGGTCCCAGCCCAGATCTGAAAGATAAAATGTTAACTAAATAAAAAAATCGCCACCTTAAGGATCCATTTGAATCTTAAGCTCAGTGCTTAAAACAGAAACTTACCTAAAATGACCTCAGGAGCACGGTAGTGACGTGTCGACACCACAGAGGTGTGGTGCTCGTGATCATACGTAGCGTTACCAAAATCCACAATTTTCACATCTGGGTTCCTCAATGTTCGTTCATCCCGTTTCTGAGGACAAAAACACAATCATAATACTCTCACAGCTGCTGGCACAAACAACAAGTTTTGGACTTCTGCAAATACTTCAGCAGGTATGACTTTTCAGCATATTTTTGGAGACACTTACCATACCAGGGTTGTACTCCATATCATAGTCTGAATCAATGAAGAGAATATTCTCTGGCTTTAGATCTGTGTGGGTCAGCTTGTTCTTGTGCAGAACTGAAAGACAAGATCACATACGTTTTAAACCAAGCAGTTTAAAAAAAACAAAACATTGGCTATTTTCTTTGCCTGCATGTGTTCATTACTCACATCGCACAGCTCGGATGATCTGGTAAGCCATGTGCTTGATGTGTTCTATGGGGAAAGGCTGGAAGTTGTTTTCCTTGAGGAAATCATAGGTGCTGAGGCCAAGCAGCTCAAAGGCAATACAAACATGGCCGTGGTAGTCAAACCAGTCCAGCATGTGTACACAAGAACTAAAGGGGAGGAAAGGTATAGAAGACAAAAAGTAAGTTTCTTGAATGGCAAATTCTAAAAATATTTTCATTCGTGATAACTGCAAGGTGGTCAGCCTGCTGTGGTTCCTGTGGATTGACTTACTATCTCTTATCAGAGTCGAGGGTCTTCAACTGCTCAAGCACCTCTACCTCAGACATAGCTGCCTCACGGTAGCGGTCTATGTTTTTAATGATCTTCAGAGCCACTCGAGCTCCATCACTGTAAAACACATAAAATAAATATTTGTGATAAAGAGAGTAAGAAAAATATATTCATAACATTGAGCTATTAAGAGTATTATTATCGGATTCATACTTACTTAGAATGATCAATGCATTCGACGACCTTCCCAAAGGCACCCTCTCCTAGAGTACACACAATCTCATCTACAGAAAATAGAGAATGGAAGTTAGAAACACAGCACTGACACGGTGAAACACTGCCCTTTGGCTGGTTCACTGCCAGATGTTACGTTGCTCTGTTTAGCTACACTACTATAACAGGCTTCTGAACACTGGCATACAACTCAATATGTTACACTGACAAGCTATATCTAACCAAAGAAAATTAAGTCTATTGGCCCAAATATTTCAGCCTCTAAATTTATGTTTGGAAATAAAAACCAGACAAGAGAGTGAGAGAGACAAAGTGTGAACAACAGTAGAAAAAAAAAGTATATATTCTATACATCTCGCTCTCAGCATGTCTCCAGTGTGATAGATGAGGTGACCCTCGCCATCATCCTCAACACTCCTGGATCTTTTCCTGCTCCTGCGGTGATGGCTCCTCCTCTGCACCGGAACCGCCGCAATCCGCCATCACATCAATAACCCATCAGTCAGCCAGCACCAGGCCACCACAATGCGACATCGTCATTCATTCAACCAGGCCAAGGGGGGGAGGTGAAGGGGTGGATAGATTCGGCCCGTTCAGTAACACCGCCAGGCGAATGGACGGAAGGACGGAGCAGCAAATTCAAATTCAGCCCCGTCAGAGAAAATGGGCGCCAGCCACCACATAGTGTGTGTTACAGAAGAAAAACATGGCAACAAGATTTTCAGATGAGAGACTTTCTCAGAGTAGTACAGAAAAAACTGAACTTGATTGATTACAGTCTTTCTACATGTGGTTCTTTGTAATTCTTCCTATACAGCTTAATTCTTTACGATCACGTCCCATAACTGCCCACTAAGATTTCAGCACAAATACAGGGTCCACTTTTCTCTTGCAAATCTACAAACACTCACAATCCCTTACTTCCTGAGCCCCCAAGTCCCCTATCCATTACTGGAAATCATGCTAATAGAAGAGTAGAGCACACAGAGAGATACAGAGAGACAGGTGTTAAGCATTGGCTAAACACCAGCGATAATGACCCATTCGATTTGGTGGTATAGACGACACGAGAGGGGGTAGAGGGGAGCGGGAGAAGGAGGTTCTCGTACCGTGGAGGACCTGTGGCGAGAGTGGCTACGTCTGCGCCTTCTGTCTCTGTGCCTGCGGCTGCTTCGCCTGCTGCGACCACTCCGACCACTACGCCCGGATGACTTGCTGTAGTGGTGCCAGTCCAGATCTCTGTCCTTGCAAGTGCCTTCACGACTGTTGTCCTCACAGGCCATGTCCAAACAGTGTCCCTCCCGAGAGTCCAGTCTCTGGTTCAAACTGCGGGTCTCCAGGTAATGCCTGCAGTCAAACAAAAACACACACACGTCAACAACCAAGACTAGAGAGCATAGGTCAGTTCCTTGTCTGATCAAGCACTGAAATGAAGATTGTACGATGGTGCTAATGGTCCGCCTATTGCCTGACACTCTATCCCCTGAGCCTTTTATGTAACATTTGTAATTAGCAACATACTGATTTACAGCCACCGAACACCGAGCATCCTGTTCAATGAGAGGCTGCAGTTCAGAAAGCATTTTATTAATGGATTATCACTGTGCAAATAGTACTTTAAGGAGCAGGCAAATGCCAAATGCAGAGTTAATGTAATGCCACACATTTGGACAATTTTTAGCATTCATACAGCTGTCTCCTTGGCAACCGAAAGCCTGTCTTCCTTAAAACTCATGCACTTTGACAGTGAGCCATTGGCAGGGGGAAGTTGGATAAAGCTTTTCAGCACAACCTGATGGTGCGTAATACGATCTGTGATTCTACACCTGCAGAATTATGTATGCCAGAAGTGAAAATCTATGTGGTACCACTTCTGCCAATATGAAATGCCAACATCTAAAAAGATCTCAAGGGAATTTGTTTATTCCTTACATAAAAATTCCTGTTACCTTCCGACATTTCCTGCTCTAATGCTCACTAAGATAGCATTTGCTTAGAATGTTTCCAATCACTGAGCACATCCACCAAGCAGGCCATGTTAGCACCTAAGCATCTAAAAAAGGCCAAGAAACCCCCAGAGACCTAGCACCCTAGGGGTGTCAGCTGTCTTCCAAAAAGAAGTCTGCCTCTCTACAGAATTAAAATTAGAGTAGATCTGGAAACATCTACTGTAACCCCATGGGTCATCATACATGCCCACAAAAAGTTAAGACTCACAAAACTTTGCAAATACCTTCAGCAAATGACACCGAAACTGCAAATTTACAGTCATCGTTTAAAAGGCAAAAGGATTCATACTAAAAAAAAATTCTACCTGACATGCCATTAAGAAAACAAACACTGAAAGTTATACATAAGATTAGAGTTATAAGAGAGTGAGTGTACATTGTAGAAAACAACTCTTCAATATGGAGCACAAGTTGTTTATAAATCTGAATCCTTACTAAACTAATTGGAAGTTCATCACAGCGGTATAAATGGAGTTCTCTATTAAAGCTCAATAAGATGGAGACTGGATATTTTTTAAGTCCTAACCGATGTGCATTTGTAAATAGTTGCTCCCCAATTTAACCAGTGTCACTACTGCAATTTCTCCTGTTAAGATTTACAGCATTTCTGATATCAACAGCTTATATACAGATAAACTATAGATGTACATTTTTTTTCATCCCGATATTTATAAAAAGTTTGCCGGAACATTTTCCCATATGCGTTATGTGATGGTAGATATATAAACAGCTTTCCTACAGAAGGTCAATAGATATATAAAACTGTACTGCTCCATTACATGATCCAGCAGTTTATTTATATACTGTTCAGTTGGTACTTTACACGACAAATAAGATATTTACCCCTCAAACGTCTTGTGGTGACGGTGAGTTCTTCTGGACTTATTTTCTCGTTCGCTGCTGTGCGAATCCCGTTTCCTTCGTTTGCTACAGTCCATCCTCTCTTCCCAGCTGTACTCATCGAGCCAGATACCTGGGGAGCGCATTCGCTTTGAGTGGCGCATCTGAAAGACATGGAAGAACGAGTCAAAATGGCATAATTTCACTGAATCCTAATACGTTAGATTATATTTATCAATCACTGCAATGTTTTCATAGCCACTGACTGCTGACTTGCAGCATTACAAATAGGATCGTTTCTGGAGATACCCCTCCCCCAATGCAAAACAGCATTACACGTGGCTGCAGTCAGCTGCAATGGAGCAGTGTTTACCAGCAAAGGTACATTATAAAGTCAAGGTAAATTAAAAACCAAGGAGAGTTTAAACGATCAGTTAAGTGTTGATAGACCGAAATGTAATCTGCAGTCATTCTGATTGATTAATCCGTTTCATTTTTTACCAAATTATATTACTGGTAAAAAAAAATCCAGCAAACTATAAAAATGAAACAGATAATTGGTTGCAGTTATCAAAACAAATCATTTACGTTTCATTATTATTTAATTAAGTGACTGCAAACAAACAACGGGAATAAAGTTGATACTGCAACAGCAACTAAACAAAAATACATATTTTCCCACACTATATAACGTTCAGGCAACTTGCTTAGAGTTAATGTTGACTGATAAAAAGCTGGGTGAGCATCAAACAACAGATAAGTTATTACTAAAGGAGGAGGGGGGCAACATCAACGTTGAGGCTCGCTGGAGGCCTTTAACGGACTGACACCGTCCACATCAACTACCATGTTTCATCAAATACTCCATTTACATACAGAAATTCACAACTCTACATGTGGTACTTTGGGTTAAGGACTAGGACCACTCAACAGACTACAGATGAAGAGATAAAGCAGAAAGTCGTCGACTGTTTTCCTGATCTCGGAGCCAAAGGCCCACCTAGCGCCGACATTAGCCACCCATTACACAACATGAACGTCAGCTAGCTCAGCTCTTACAGTACGTAGCGTTAACTTATTGAACATACACGTGTGAGAGCAAAATGTGTACGTCGTTGACTTCTACCGTAACTGTAAGAAGCGCTTTAATTTTGCCAGCTGAGAATATTAAAAAGGAAATAAATTCTCGTAGCTAGCCAAACCCGTTTAGCCAGACCAGCAGCTGCCATGTTGTCGAGACGTCGAATTTAAACATCAGGAGAATACACCGGCGACTGGATTTGGTGTAAAGAAGTGATCTTACCTTCCTCCTAACAATACCGAGGTTCGAAAGAGTAGTTTTATCGGGGTTTTTTTATTTGTTTTGTTCAATATATCAACAAAGAAAGTGCGGTTTCCTCTCACTGGTCGTCTTCAAAGATGGCGAACGTTCCAACTAGAACGTTCTCGAATAGATTCCGTGACGCAACGCACCATAGCAACGCCCACTCACGTGACTTTTATTATTTTAGTTTAGCACATGTCGATTTGCACATTAAGTAAAAAAATAAAATAATAATAATAATTAAAATAGGCTGTTAATAACGCTAGTCTGTGCACTGGGAGAAAGTACAATATTAATGAAAGTGGGATGTTAAGTTTTTGAAATTAACCCCCCATATAAACAGAGAGGGAGCTCTTCCTGAGACGCCTGACTCAGGGCAGAAAAAAACCCATTTTGAGAGCTCTGAATTGTGGGTAAGACATGTCTGCGCCCTGTCATGAGCTCGGACCACCTAACCTCTATGTGATATCTCAGTTCTCCAAGTTGTAAACAAGGACTTCTCGTTCAAACAGCGTTCGTTTAAACACTGAATCTTAAAGATGTTGGATAACACGCAGAAAGAGCGCATCTCTAGAGATGCGCACACAAGAGCAATTATTTCCGAAATGCTGGCGAAGAATTTCGAGAAGCTGCCCGACATTGATCAGAAATTATTCGTCTACGGACACATGTATCTGGGGGGAAATGCTGGGCTCGCAGGAGTGATATCCAACAGCTTTTACCGCCGAGCTCTGAATGTCAAAGAGGCGCGCATCAGCTCCAACCTGCCGATGGCCGTCCTGCCCTTCCTGACAACATATGCCTTGTACAACGCAACGGTGTCCAACCCCCTCCTGTCCGGTGACCTCAACTGTCCCACCTGTGTACTGATGCGAGGTTTACTTGTTGGCGTGGTGGGCGGTGGGGTGTACCCCATCCTCCTGGCCTTACCTGTGAGTATGGGCCTCGCAGCCAGGTACAACACAGCACCGATGCCAGAGAAGGGCAACCTGCTCCGGTACTGGATGGACATCTCCAAACCGGTCCTGAGGAAGATGAGGCCAGTGCTGTTTCTCCAGGCCTTCTTCGGCACCTACCTGGCCAACAGGGACTTTGACACTTACACCAGACTGGCCGAGATGACATTTCACGCAGGCGGAGAAGAACTTAAAGACTAAAATATTTGAATTGAACCTTAAAATAAACCATTTAATATGGAATATGCCTGGGATCTTTACTGCAGGGTTACAATTAAGTGTGGGCTGCGTCTCTGATATTGTGTGTCAAAGTTAACATTAAACAGATTTTTGGTAACACTTCATGCATTAAGGAGATAACACTGCTATACAAATTTGGCACATTTCTAATCAGTATGTTCTTTAAATTTGTCTGAAACAATTATTGGATTAGTCATCCATAGAAGAATAGTCAGCAACATTGTTTTATAATCTATTATCATCATATTCATCCTAATCTCAAATGTGTGGGTTATTCCTTTTGTTTGTTACATTACATTTTAAAGTCAATATCTTGCTGTGGAAAATTGTGTTGGGCAGTTTCCACCATTTTTTAACATTTTATAGACAAAATACTGATCATTTGTAAAATAACTGAAAGATTTATTGAAAGAAAAAGGAAAATAATTGTTGGTTAGTTGCAGCCCTTTCAGAGATAATGCGTTGGCTCTGTTGATTGCCTAATGAATTTATCTTGACTTGACTTCGATATCTGCCTGGATTGGCAGATTAAATCTTCTTATGTGCTCATCCATTCACATGGATTTTTCTACCCTAATCCAAAATGTCCACATGCAAATGAGGTAGAGGCTGTACATCAACCCTGACTGTGTGAATTCATAGTCTGTGCAATGCTTTGATCAAGCGTGTCATAAACAAAATCAACTGCAGGCAATCAGCTAAGCATGGTTGACTTTTATTAAAGGCTTTTTTTTAAGGAACGAGTCACAAATGTTTCCGTGATGTTGGAGCCAAAAGTGTCTGCTTGGCCTCGCTAACTATGAAAAACACTGAATGCATTCCACTTGTTGAACTGCACACAGCAATGTACACGTGTGTAAGCAAAAATTCAAAGATGGCAGTGCGATCGCCCCGTTAAAAACAGTAGAACTGATGTAATGTAGGAGATTGTCATTGAAAACACGTGTTCAACACAGGCAATGTTTTATTAAAACATGTCTTCACCTTGAATGGCAGGTTTCACTTCACATCTCTGGCTCTCTATAGTCTTAACTTATCTGGGGAATGTGTTACAGGGAAAGCAAGTTTATTGATGACAAATGAGGAGGGAGAATTAAAGTCTGTTATTGGGAGGGAAAGGTGCTTCTTAAGAGAAAACACTGACATCAATCAATTATAGCAAACTGAATAAGACTGTTGTTTAAAAAGCTTATAATTACACAGTTCCCATCCCTTCCCCGTAACCCTCCTCTCCTCCCATCACCCACCCTCAAAAATGGCTCCCGAATCACAACAAAATTGCCAAAAAAAACAAGGCTCAGTGACAATCCCACGAAACGATAAACAACACATTTCAAGTCAGAGGAACCTGAATGGTCATGACAAGCAGTGATTCATATGGCACAAGTTTCCCTCTTTACTTTATAGAAAGACAAAAGTCTCCAATTCATCATTGTCCTTCCACAGAATGCAACAACGCAATCAGGACTACAAAGTTTGTGTTGCAGTAGTAATCTTTACAAGGTGGATACGCTTAATGCCCCTTTAAAAACACCTGTCATAGCATGCCATTGGACTTCATATTCAGTAAAGGAAAGTTACAATAAAAACTATACATCTGTCAGCACAGAAATCTCCATAAATATATCAGACAACTGAACGTCAGTCAGAGAAAACTTCCTGAAGAGCAGAAAGATGAGGGGTAAATGTCACCTGTACACAATCTACACCTGGCCTTGTAACTGTTAAGCTATACTGTAGTTGTCTTGCATTAATGGCACAATACATTTAAAAGGAGTAAACACTTTTTAAACAGTTCATATTCCCCGACCAACACTTTTTCACTAAAATAAAATACAATAAATAAAAAAAACAAGAAGAGATGAGCAATAAAAAGGCTTCTCCAGTCATTCTCATGCAAAACAAGACGGTGACCATCTGAACAGACAGGAATGCATCAAACATCTGGATCACAAACACACATTAAAAGTACACATGAGATGAACTGGTAAAATGCTCAAGGCCTGTCATTTTCTGTTATCCCAGATTCACACAGTTGCCATTCCTTCAGTAGACCTATAAAATTTGACAGCTGATATGGGCTAGCCAGCGCCCTTCACATCATTGTAAGTTTCATTACAGTACATTACAAGTAAAGGGGAAAAGTTAACTTAAATACCTAGGCAAGGCTTTGGGCCAAAGGGGAACAGAGAGCTAGGAGGAGCAAATACAAAAAAAACAACGATAGCATCAGTAGGAATTTCATTTTATAAAGTGGTTTTCCCTGTAACTGTACTCTCTATTGTAGTAAACATATCTTCACAGAGTAAACACACATCAAGGGAAGGGGGGCCGGAGGGGCTGTATTCCTCTCCCAACAAACTGGACCTCATCACTGATAGTTGATATGCTGCAAAGGCATTTTGCAGTGTCCATAGCTTAACGTTTCCAATTCACTTTTTTTGTGATGTTTTATTTTTTATTTTTTACACTCTTCTTGATGAATCCCGTTCATCGTGTTTCTTTTTTTTTTCATCATTTCTTCATAGAAAAACACCTAAGTACCAGCTAGGTTCCTTCACAGTTCATTTTAGTGCAATGAGAACACATGCTCCCTCGCTGGTGGGAGGGTTAGCTGCCGTCAGTTCCTCATGTCTTTCCCAGAACGTTAGACCTGATGGCAGAAAAGAGATGATGAAGGACGGTGCGTTGATTTACACTCAACAGCATCTCTGATTTGACATAATTTTTACCTGAGTGCTTTCCATCTGTCCTTCTCTACCTGGTTCTCTGGACTCTCACTCTCATAGGATGCGAGGTAGAGTCCTGGTGAAGAATGAGAAAAGAAACGGTAAATAAGTAAAGAGGTTAGTAAGAGCAAACCATCACAAACAAATACTTGGATCAACACTGTGCAGAGAGGTTTCTGAAGTACAAACAGGCTCTCACCGTCCTCGCTGAAGATGGGAGCAGTGTGGAGGTAGTGTAGGATGGCCCGATCCTCCTCAAATGGACACTCCACTTGTTTCCACGTCATGAACTCCCCAACTTGCCGTGCCAACTCCACAAATTTCTAAGAAACAAGATTACAATGAGTAAATGTTTTTTAGGATGGTTGAATGAGGCAGGGTCAGGAGATAAAAAAAAAAAAGGACTGGCTCACCTCAAAGTTGACATGGCCGTTGGGCAACCGATTGGCACATCCTTCATTCAGGAAGTAAATGTCTTTGATAAGCAGGCTGAAGAAGGGAATCACAATCTGAGGAGACAAAACAGGCAGAAAGATATAGGAAATACTGATGCAATAAATAATTGATTTCAGAGAACTGGCAGCGATGTGAAGCGGAACCGTACCCTTTCTCTGTTGCTGTTGGCAGTCTGAGAGCGATGGGCGGCCCCCCTCAGGGCTGTCCTGTAGTTGTAGAAGTTTCCCGTAGGATCCATCTGATGCTGTCAAAGCAAATGGCAACAAGCAATACACTGTCAACTTCAAGTTTCTACCTGTCTTGTACTTCTGTCGGTGGATAGTTGGATTGTGTTTACCTCGAGAATGAAGAACTTGGCAGTCTTGGCTTTGCCCCAAGTCTTCTTCAGCCGTGACACGGGACTCATGTTCATACCGGCTACGGGAGGAAATGGATTTCAGCTATTAATACCAGGTCATGCCGGTGATTTGTCAGTGATAATACTCTCATATACCATAAAATGACACTCACAGATGATGGCCATAAGGGAGTTGAAGTTTCCAATGTTGAAACACTCCCTGGCAACATCGATGAAGAACTCTATCACCTGGGCCCTCTGCTTCTTCTTCGCTGGCTGCAAAAAACAGACTTGTATTAAGTTTTTTTTTTCATATTTTCTTAATTTTTCACAATGAAAGGTATTTATCTATACAAGTGCTGGCACAAACTGTTAAACTAACCTTGCAAGTGACTATGTAGTTACACAATATAACCATTAGGGGGCAGTGACGCTCTGTGAAAACTAAACAGCTTTTATCTGCTGCCCCTTTATTTGTTCACAAGAATGAAATACTACTACGATTTTACATATTTCCAAGAATTGTTTTATGTAAAATACAGGACGACTATGAGGTATAAAATCTAAACGTGCATATATTCTAAAATGCTCTTTCAGGTATGCCTGTATAGTGGCACAACAGCATCGTTCTAATGTCTCCTCCCATTCATGTCTACTTCATGATTAAAGTGATTTTCTAGCACCAGGTTTTCCTATTTTGTGGACAGGATAAATGTTCCTCATGTCTTGGGGACTGTTCATACAATATATATAAACATATTGTTCATATTTTGGTATAATAAGATATTTTGTGTGCCGTTTGTTTGCTTCTAATGTTATGAATAACTGAGCACCTGGAGTACCAACATTTGCCACTCACCATGCAGATCTCAGTAGCTACCAGGTAACACAGTCTGTTGAACCACCTGACATAAGCTTCCAGGTTGGAGGTTTTCTTCTTCTGGTCACTGAAGCATGGCTGCTGACGACACACACATGCACACAAGCGCATGCAAATAACAGTCAGTATAGGGAGTGCTACCATAGGGAATTCATCTGTCCCTAATTAGCTTCCTATCTACAGACCCCCCTATGTGAGTGTAAATGTCAAAGACAGCGAGCCGGGAGTGAAAACTAACACGATCAATGAAGTTCACGAGAAAAACCATAGGGGAAGGTCAGAAGGAGAGGTGGTGAGTGAAAGAGACTGAATACAGTGAAAAGGGAACGAGTGACAGTGGGAGAAGAGAGAGTAAAAGCATTCAACAGTTATACAGAGAGGGCAGATAAAGCCCTTATGTGTTTGCTTGTGATGTTACAATTATGTGCTGTCTGTGAAACCACAAGGCTTTTGCTGATTTTTTTTACTGTGACAGCTTCTCAAACTAAACAAAACTGAAAAGATGAAATAAGAAATGCTGTGCTTTGATCTCAGGATAGACTATGGGTTTCTACTGATGTGACAAAACATACAGAAAACAAATCTTAGAATTTCTACATGTGCATTGCTCCTGAAAAACATAGTGACACAGAAAAATAATTTATAAACGCTCAAAATAAAAGTTTACCTGGGTTCCATCTAGCGGGTCTTTCTGAACAAAGGCTTGGACAAACTCTTCCGGCCCAATATGTCTCAAATGTTCCTGGAAAACACACACACACATTCACAAAAATGGGGGTGGTCCCATCAATAATTCTTTCATTTCAGTAATGGAAGACAATCAATAAGCGGAAGTAATGACTCACTGACGTGACTCATTGGAATCATATTTCCTCAAAGTGACACGAGAGACAATATTCACTTCTATTAAAAGACAACTGTGCAGTTACATACACGTGTGAATCAAACTGACTCATTGGGCCTATATCAACTATATAATCCAGAACACACACACACACACACACACACACACACACACACACACACACACACACACATAAAAGGAGAAAGAAAGAGAGACATATAGGCATGTACAGTGCACTCATACACTATTTCTATTGTTGGTTTTAGCAACATGTTAATTATGACTGAAAATAATTACACAATGGCATCTAATTCTTTTCAATCATAATTAACATGTTGCTAAAACCAGCAATAGAAATAGAAAGTCTCTCTTTCTTTCTCCTTTTATATGTGTGTGTGTGTGTGTGTGTGTGTGTGTGTGTGCCAGAGTGTGCCAGAGTGTGAAGCTGTCAGGTCACATATATCCACAGCAGTTTTATCCCCTTTGTTTGAAGC